GAGAGAGAGAGAGAGAGAGAGAGAGAGAGAGAGAGAGAGAGAGAGAGAGAGAGATGATTTGGCACAACTGAATGGCAGATTACACAGTTCGCATGCCATTGTCATTTACTACTCCTGAATCGACAATCTGAATCTAACGTTTTGAGTCTTTTGACCGCTTGGTTTCAACTCCTCGCTCAGTCAAAACACGCATTCAATTTTATGCGATGTGAATAATTGACATTAAATTTTCCAATTCGTTTGTTGCTCCGTCTCTTGTTCTCTTGCGGTGTGCAGCACACTGTTTCATAAAGGCTGGGATGACCCCTGGAGAACACCCAGTAGTAGGCGATCAGGTTATTGTAGCATACGGCTCTGAGAAATGGGCTACTGCACCTCGAGTTTCTGCTGTGCATCTCTGGATCAATAACTACGTCAATAACAAGAACGATGTGGCGGTTGTGAAGCTTGCCGCCGCCATCCCCTTCTCTTCAACGGCTACTTCTCTTCGTCTATCTGCTACAGACGATGGATTGTCAAAGGAAGGAGCAGACCTTACAGTCAGCGGATGGGGGTACATTCAGCCAGATATTGGAGTAATCAGTCCATCGAATCGGGTGGCGAGAATCAACGCCCTACCTTCTTCATGCAGCCAGGCATATCCGGAATTTGACGGCAGCGTGATGCTTTGTGCGGGCTGTAAAGAAGGGGGCACAGATGCATGCAACGGAGACTCGGGGGGACCTTTAGTCTCTTCCGCCTCCTCCAAGGGATGTCCTGTCCTTGCCGGGATCGTCAGCTGGGGCTTCGGCTGTGCTGACAAGGGCAATCCCGGAGTCTATGCGCGAGTTAGCAGCTACATTGACTGGGTAGAGAACATTGTTAAGAAGCCATTACGGAGCACACGGGCCCTTCAACCCACAACGGGATGTGACCAGTGCAAGTCGAAAGCGGCGCCTGCAGGATCTTGTCAAGCATCAGCCTCCTTTTCAATTGACCGTTGTCTGGTCGAGTCCCGTCTGGCGGATGCGTTCAGCCTCAAGCCTTCGCAATGTGTTGCAGGAAACCGAACGCTCACTGCCCAGCTTCCACCTTCCGCGACTTCTCTGCCAGCCAATTTCGTCAGTGGGGGGGTATACTTCCTTTCCTCCTCTTCAGGGAAGGGAAAGGACACAATCCTAATCAACGGTGTGGTTGTGAACACCCCTCTAAAAACCCCAATAACAGTATCGCCAGCTGTTTATAGTTCAACCCGCACCTGGCTGTACCAGTCTGCTTCTTGCACTCAGCCACCAAGCACCAATTATGCAGCTGTCTATGTGTCGCCTGGTGCAGACCCGTACTATCAAATCTCCATTGCCGTTATCTAATAGGCTCCTCCTCCTTCCTATTCACTGTCCGGCAACGAGCAAATGCAGCCACTCCGTACGCTAAGCACTTCACGCTCTCTCTCTCTCTCTCTCTCTCTCTCTCTCTCTCTCTCTCTCTCTCTCTC